CTCTGCAGTGAATGGGTGCCGTCAGAATGAGAGGCCAAACAGCTGATAAAAGCATCACAATAATCCACAAGTAATCCACAGCACTCCAGTCCATCAGTTAACGACTCGTGAAGCAAAAACTTTTGTAACTTCAAACTGTTGTTTCCATCAAGTCCATAATCAATAATACTGCTTTCTCCAGTGAAAATGTTGTCTCATCTGAGCCAGGAGAGAAATATGCACTGATTATAAGCAAAAAAAACAGTCCTAAACAAATGTGATTGGATTTTGATGTGAGAGGACAACAAGGTATGGACTTTTTCCCTGGAGAAAGTTTTATTATGGATGTTGGACTGGTATTTTGGCCAAAAGCGACAGTTAAATGTTAGAATGTCTTAATGATGGGTTTGTTTCCTACAAATGCAGCTTTACAAGATGTTAACTGATGGATTGGAGTGGTGTGGATTATTGTGATGTTTTTATCAGCTGTTTGGACTCTCATTTTGACGGCACCCATTCACTGCAGAGCATCCACTGGTGAGCAAGTGATGCAATGCTACATTTCTCCAAATCTGATGAAGAAACAAACTCATCTTGAATCCCCTGAGGATGAGTAAGTTTTCATCAAATTTACATTTTTCAGTGAACTATTCCATTAAAATGTCTTGATGATCATACAGAAGTTTTAACTAATCCAGTAATTGGAAAACAACACAAGAAGACCAGAAAAGGCATGAAATGATTTAGTAAAAGAGAAGAAAGCCAGTTGTAGTGGGAGATGGAGCTAATGGGACCCAGCTGGCAGTTTATGCATTCAGAATTGATTGGTCCCTTAAAAACTGTGACTTTGTGTTTATTTCTCCAGGAGACGCTGAGCTGAAGGGTTCAGGCTTCTCCCACTCTGCTGGGTTGGACGACATCGGAGAGGATGACATGGGGTCCAAGAAATCCGGAGGACGTAATGTCTCGATTGAAACGGCCAGTCTGGTGGTTTACGCCAAGTATGTGCTGAAGAGCATCTGCCAACAGGTGAGGGTTTTAAGAGGATCATATTCTCATCCTTGGAGGAATTTTAGCGGTTATAATCCATATTGTAATATCAGTATAGACTAAAGTTGTGAAGATAGAAACACATTTTTGAGTGACGTCCTAAACACTGGCTTAAAAATGAGAAAATGCTTCACCTGTGCCCTCACTATTACCCAAAATTGTTTCTGCCAGACTCTAAAAGTGATCAAGATCAGCAGCACACTGCTCCCTTCCAGTTGAAAAATGTAACTCTTTTCTTCGCTTAAGATTTAATTTAGCTGTATTTTCTCTCTGGTTCAGGAGTGGGTGGGTGAGCGGTGTCTAAAGTCTCTGTCGGAGGACAGCAGTGCTCTGCAGGACCCAGTGCTGGTGAACATCCAGGCTCAGCGCTTGCTGCAGCTCATCTGTTACCCACACAGGCAGCTAGACAGCGAGGAGGGCGAGAATCCTCAGAGACAGCGCATCAAACGCATCCTGCAGGTCACACGCTCTCACATGACCCCATCAGAACATCTGCTCCTGAGCTGACGGAGCTTTTTATAGTAGTATAGAGTGAATTTTTAGATTTTCACATTACATCTAAACTATTAGTTTAAATAAATTGAAATATTACTTTAATTATTTAAGTTGTACAATGTTTACCTTTAATTACCTAGACCATGGCGGCCTAATCTGCCCCAAAAAGTAGAGTATGCACACATTTTCAATGCCAAGTTAACAATGTTGGAACTAGGAGCCATCCTGGTTTAAGAAATCACATGATGATTTAGGAGATCACATGATCAACCAGAACAAGCACTGATCTAAAAAAAAAAAATCAGTCAATCAACATATGGCCTAATCTGTCCCACCACAGTTTCATACTGAACCAGTATAATAACAAAAGACCTCTAACATTGTGTTTAGCGCTGTTGCTTTGGCAAAGTATCTATCATTTAATTCATTAGGCTGCCAAACTAAAATGACTGTGAAACATATTTAATTGGATTGTACGGTTTTTAATGTAAATAGACAACGGTTTTATTCAGAGGTGTGTCTAACTGATATATTTAAAAATGTATCACCTTGAATGTATTTTAGAATTTTCGTCTAGTGTACATCTGAAATGTCTTTTAGAACCTTTTGTTAATTGTATACCTTGTATAATTTATTCAGATATCGCCGTGAAAATAGCCTTGATGTTAACATGGCGTTAAAAAATCAAATTAATTAGGCTATATATTTTAATGTGTCTCAGAGCAGCTCGGTTCACAGTAAATGCAGAAAACTCCATCTCTGCATGTGATATTTAATGTAATTTTATTATTATATTTAACTGGTTTGGCTTCCTAAAAATACCAGTGTGAATGAGATGTGGACTGACACTGTCACAACAAAAAAATAGGTTTTTAGTCCACTTTAAAGCACTGCAAACAAACTGATAAGGGATTTTCTAACTTTTAGATGGTTTGGTGTCCACCCACCATAGTCACACAGAATTCTGGGAAAACACTGCAATATACTATATTTATACACATTTAGGGAGAAGTGTTCTGAAAACCTGTTTGAAAACCGTCATTGACTTGTGCAGTTCCATTTGGTGATGCTCTCAGTGCAGAACATATACATTTCAGCTTTAAAACCCAGTAGACCAGGCCTGCGCACATGAAGGGTGTTTTAGACATCGCTGTTAGCGATGGAAGAGCAGCAGAGGATGAACAGACAGTCATTTCCCCGAGCTTAATTATTCATTTCACACCCTTTAGCCTTTAAGTCATTAATGATTTGTGTGGGTCTCACAGCAGCTCATTATTCTGGATTGGTTTTCATCTTCATAGACTGTGAAGATGGGGCCCCTCGCAAGTAACATCCAGCTGGGGCTCTTAAGCTCTGCTTTGATTGCTTTAAAAGCATTCTTTCCATATTCTGTCTGTTTTTCTGCTTACAGAACATGGACCAGTGGACCATGAGACAGTCCTCTCTCGAGCTGCAGCTCATGATCAAGCAAAGCTCGAATAACGTAAGCCGAAGCGTGTTTGCTGAGTTCATCTCCGCTTGATGATTTCTCTTCTTTTCTTTAAGATTTGCACAGCTGAACCCACTCTTTGCAGGAGCTGTATTCTCTCCTGGAGAACATAGCCAAGGCCACCATTGAGGTTTTCCAGAAGTCTGCTGAGATGAACTCTAGTAACCCCACCTGGAATGGCTCTGTGGTTTCTGGCAGCTCCGTCTCCAATAGCAACAGTGCCAGCAAACTCAAACCTGTGCTCAGGTCGGTGACCCCAATCATTGATCTGTGCTTTTATTTACTTTCAGCTTGATGGAATTGATGGACCGGCCTTCTCTTCTTCAAACAACACCAATCACCAACACCAACATTGACGTCCTATCAATGTGTCTATGCTGTAAGAAGAGAGCGGTGCCCTGCGTGTTTCTCAAATACTGTTGTTATTGTTGTGTTTCCTCCAGTTCCTCCGAGCGTTCAGGGGTCTGGTTAGTGGCCCCTCTGATTGGTAGGCTGCCCACCTCAGTGCAGGGTCACGTGTTGAAGGCCGCCGGTGAAGAGCTGGAGAAGGGACAGCACCTGGGACCCTCCTCAAGGAAAGAAAGAGATCGGCAGAAACAAAAAAGGTACTAGACTTTTAAGCTGCAGCAGCATTTACACTGTTGCTTTTCTCTTGATGTTTAGCGCCTCAAATGTACCTAAACATGTTGACTAGATATGCTGCTCACTAGTTTTTTGAAACGAAGTTGGTTCTAAACAGTAAGCAACAAAAGTATACTGCCCTCTGAGGGGCAGCCCTGTCCTGTCACACACACAATGCATTGTAAAATATTCACTACCATTCAAAAGCTTGTGACTTGCTGTATTTATCTCTTATGCGCACTAAGGCTGCATTTATTTGATCAAAGATATTTTGAAATATTATTACAATTAAAAAAATATATATATTTTTCATATATTTTAAAATGTAATTTATTCTTGTGATGAAAAGCAGAATTTTCAGCATCAGTGTCACGTGATCCTTCAGAAATCATTCTAAAATGCTGATTTCTTATCAATTTGAAAAGCAGTTGTGCTGCTTAATATCTCAAATACTGTTGTTATTGTTGTGTTTCCTCCAGTTCCTCCGAGCGTTCAGGGGTCTGGTTAGTGGCCCCTCTGATTGGTAGGCTGCCCACCTCAGTGCAGGGTCACGTGTTGAAGGCCGCCGGTGAAGAGCTGGAGAAGGGACAGCACCTGGGACCCTCCTCAAGGAAAGAAAGAGATCGGCAGAAACAAAAAAGGTACTAGACTTTTAAGCTGCAGCAGCATTTACACTGTTGCTTTTCTCTTGATGTTTAGCGCCTCAAATGTACCTAAACATGTTGACTAGATATGCTGCTCACTAGTTTTTTGAAACGAAGTTGGTTCTAAATAGTAAGCAACAAAAGTATACTGTCCTCTGTGAGGCAGCCCTGTCCTGTCACACACACAATGCATTGTAAAATATTCACTACCATTCAAAAGCTTGTGACTTGCTGTATTTATCTCTTATGCTCACTAAGGCTGCATTTATTTGATCAAAGATACAGTAATATTTTGAAATATTACAATTAAAAAATATATATTTTAAAATGTAATTTATTCTTGTGATGAAAAGCAGAATTTTCAGCATCAGTGTCACGTGATCCTTCAGAAATCATTCTAAAATGCTGATTTCTTATCAATTTGAAAAGCAGTTGTGCTGCTTAATATTGAACTGTGATTTAGTTATAGTATCTTTGATGAACATTATAAATGTCTTTACAATCATACTACTATACTTAATCACACACATATATAAAAAATATAACATAGTATAATATAGGTATTCAAATGAGGTAAACAACAATTATGTGTACTTTAAATAACAATTCTAATAATTAAAATACATGTTTTTACCTCTTTTGAATACCTCTAGAAACATAAGGTTTCACTAAATCTCTTACTGACCCCAAACTTGTGAATATTAGTGTAGGTTTGATTCTAAATAACTTATGAATATTTTGTAGCACTTAACAATAAGGCTGATTGTTGCCGGGCAAATTTAGGCGGTGTTGCTGTCAACGGGCAACCAGGTGAGACACAGGGCCCATGATCGATCTAAAGTATCCAGTTAGAAATTTGTTACCCATTCTCAATGGGATAGTGCCCAAAAAATATTGCTTAAAAAAAGTTGCCTGGCAAAATTGCTCAAAAAGTTGCCACGTGTCTCATCAGCTTATGAGTTTAAGCTTAAAAAAACGATTTGTGCATGCCTTTTGTTTTGTGCTTATCACCGTAATTAACAAGTGTGACTGTGCTAACAAGAATGACCATTTACTTTGTTTTCTTTTCTCTTTCAGTATGTCTCTCCTGAGCCAGCAGCCCTTCCTCTCTCTGGTGCTGACGTGTCTCAAAGGACAAGACGAGCAGAGGGAGGGTCTCCTGACTTCCCTCTACAGCCAAGTCCAGCAGGTACCTCATCAACACACACCGTGTCACTGTCAGTCAATGCTTCTCATCTCTGTGGACTGATGTGATGTATTCCTATCCTATCAGATTGTGACTAACTGGCGTGAGGACCAGTACCAGGACGACTGCAAGGCCAAGCAGATGATGCACGAGGCCTTGAAGCTGCGACTCAATCTGGTGCGCAACCGTTATCTCTTTCTCTCATACATCATCTGCCTTCAGGCTGACCAAACAAGTACAATCTGTGTGTTGATCTGCTCTCTTCAATCTCATTTCCTTGTATTGTGTGCCTAAGGGTTAAACTCTGCCTAAAAGACAAACGAAAGTCACCGAGATGTAGGGTTGGGTATCGAAAACCGGTTCCATTTTAGAAATTTCCAAGAACTGGGTACTCGATAAGACGTGTGCATTTCGATTCTGCTTAACGATTCCTGCATTCGCATTTAAATGTGATTTAAAGTGCAGGAACGGAAAGAACTTGCGCCTTGTTTGCGTGCAGCGTTCCCGGTTTGTGTCCGTTCTCGAATCGTTCTGTGCATTTCCACTGACTCAATAGGACTTCTTTCATATTTATCGACCAGTATGCAGAAAACTACGTCAGTACATCATCATAAACACAGCCGTTTTTGTCTTAAGTGAACGTAAACAGATGAGCAAGAAAACTCCCTTCTGCAGTATTTTCAGATCTGTGTGCGTTCGGTGTTAAAGAGACGGCAGCCTAATAAACGCGCTGCCTGTCAATAACGTTAATCAAAGAACAAAAGAAAATCATTCATTGATCTTGACTGAATACCTTTAATAACTTCAATTAATCTAGATTTTATTTATGAAAAGAAAACTATACTTTAAGCTTTTAATTACAGTTTCTGTACCTGACATTTGGTTCAGTTGTATTTATTTGTGCTAATGCTAATTGATTTGTTCGTTCCTATTTTATTACTGACTGTTTACTTGTCTTTGACACTCGAATATTTGAAATGTATACAAGTCTAGTTGTTTTTGCTGTGATATTTTGTTAAAAGCATAGGCACAAGTTCCTCTTGTAAGTGTTCTGTAGGCTGCTGGTGTTTGCTCATGTTATTCAGCTGCAACAGAATGCTTTGCAAAAAAGACGCAGAATAAATATTTGACTTCATTTTTTTTGGGGGGATTTTTTTATCTTATTGGAATCGAAACTAGGAATTGATAAGAATCGGAATCAATAAAATTCAAATGATACCCAACCCTTCCAAGATGTGGTTAAACTGCACTGAGCTCATTTGTTATTTTGTGTCACGTGGTCTATAGGTGGGTGGGATGTTTGATACGGTGCAGCGAAGTACACAGCAGACGACGGAGTGGGCGGTGCTTCTGCTGGACATCATCAGCAGTGGCACAGTGGACATGCAGTCTAACAAGTGAGATCTGACACACCCCTCATTCAGTCTCTGGTCAGCCTTTGCCATTCTGTCTAATTTGAATGATGTTTGTCGTTTTCCATTAGTGAGCTCTTCACTACGGTGTTAGACATGCTGAGCGTGTTGATTAACGGCACTCTGGCGGCTGACATGTCCAGCATCTCTCAGGGCAGCATGGAGGAGAATAAGAGGGCCTACATGAACCTGGTCAAGAAGCTCCGGGTGAGACTGAGACATACTGACACTGCTTAGAAAGCCGGAATGGGCTTTACTTAGTCAAGTCAGTAAGGAGCGCAGAGAATTTGAAAGCTGAGACTTTGTGTTATATTAAAGTGCAAAGCTTATTGCGAATAGTGGGTGGCTGGTGTGCTATTAATAATTAATGCACATGAAGATGTCTATGTCATTTATATGTCTATAAAACAGCATATGAATAGTCACGTAACGTTATATACCTCAGCAAAAGACAACAATGTAACTTAAGTTAACGAGTTTAACCTTTGTTTTTATTCCTGTTTTTAATGTTAAATACATGTGAAGAATGAAAGGTTGGACATTACAGACATTTTTTTGTGGAGTAGGTGGTGCAAATGTCACATAAATTAACTATTCACACAATATTCTACTTTATACTTAAAATATTATGGTGGTTAATCTTGTATTGCTATGACTATCCTCAAAGTACTATGATTTTAATCTCATAATGCTATGACTTTATTCTTAAAATGTTATAACTTTATTCTTAAAGTACTACACATTTAATCACATAATGCTATGACGTTATTTTTAAAATATTCCAACATTATTCTCAAAATATTATGACTTTATTCTCATAATGCTGACTTTATTCTTAAAATGTTATGACTTTAATCCCATAATAATGACTTTATTCTCAAAATATTACATTATTCTCAAAGTCTGTTTTCTTAAAATGTTACTACTTTAGATTCATATTGCTATGACTTTCTTAAAGTATTAAGATCTTATTCTCAAAATGTTACGACTTTAATCTCGTAATGTTAGATTATTTTTTTTATTGTTTATGTGGCACTAAAAAGCTGTCATATTATTCAGCAAAGATACATTAAATTGCTCAAAGGTAACAGACATTTATAATAATTTCAGATAAGTTGCCTTTTTTATTATGGCTTCCACAGAAATCTTAAGCAGCACAACTTTTTTCAACGGTTAATAATCAGAAATGTTTCTTGAGCAGCAAATCAGCATATTCGAGTGATTTCTGAAGGATCATGTGACACTGAAGACTGCAGTAATGATGCTGGAAATTCAGCTTTGCATTGCATTTAAGATCTATTCCGATAGAAAACAGTTATTTTGAATTGCAATAATATTCTACTGTTTTTACTGTATTTTTAATCAAATAAATGCAGTCTTGGTGAATGCTTTCTTTCAAAAGCATCTTACTGACCCCAAATCTTTTAAATGGTAGTGTACCTAAAACTGCACAGAACCCCTCAGAACTTACAGCAACTGTAATAAGCAACATTTTATGATCGTGACAGCGATTTTGCACAGGCAAGTGGCACTCACTTATCTTCTGGAAATGCTTTGCCCTGCAGAAAGAGCTTGGTGAGCGTCAGTCCGAGAGCTTGGAGAAAGTGCGGCAGTTGCTGCCTCTGCCCAAGCAGACGCGTGACGTCATCACCTGTGAGCCCCAGGGGTCACTCATTGACACAAAGGGCAACAAAATTGCTGGATTCGAAAAAGAGGTACGTAGCAGCTTGTCAGTGTTGTAGCACTGCTCAGCTTCTGGCCCATTCGCTTACCTTTGCACTGTGATTTCTGGCATACAGGGTCTTCAGGTGTCGACTAAGCAGAAGATTTCTCCTTGGGATGTGTTCGAGGGCCTGAAGCACTCGGCTCCGCTGTCCTGGGGCTGGTTTGGGTCCGTGCGGGTCGACCGCAAAGTCACGAAATATGAGGAGCAGCAGCGGCTCCTGCTTTACCACACTCACATAAAGCCCAAACAGCGCAGTTACTACCTGGCGCCCCTCAATCTGCCTCAAGAGGAGGAGGAGCCACCCACACCCGTGCCTCCTGAGCCGGACAAGAAGGTGGATCCAGGGAAGCCGGAGAAGAGCGTCTCTAATGTCGCACCTGACACCGCAAAGAAGAAAAAGAAAAAGAAACAGACATCTGCAAATAAACAAGAGGTACATATGAGAAGAAAAAAAAAGTTCCTGTGTATATTTTTATTAGATCCTTTAGAAGTATTTTTCTTCTTTACTCTTTCCCTGTTAGTGTTTATAAAAAATAATTTAAATTAAATAAAAAAAACTTGCCAGCCACCGCCAGCATTTTCGATCATTTTCACAAAATGTTCATGTCCCTTAGAGTATTTTATTGTATAAGGGTCAAAGACGAAAAAGGGTTTAAGCATAAAAACAATAAGTGTAATACTGCTTTAAATTGTTGTTGTTGTTCTCCAAATTTTTTAAAAAGTTTTCTGTTTAATTTTATAGCAATTTTGTTTTTGTTTTTCCGAGCAAAAAATAAATATCATACATTTTTCCCTGATTTACAGAAGAGACCCACTAAAATGTCATTCAGTGTAACAATCTTGTCAGGCATATTTACAACAAAAATCCATTTACGGCATATTAAAAGACTAATTACTTTCACCCCAAATACTAATTAGTACATTTTTAAAAATTGCCACTATCCTAGGTTTTGCCCATTTGTCAGTAAGAATTTTTACTCATTCAAAACACAATAAAATTTCATATGCTTCCTTATTCTTTTATGTATTTTAATATGTACAAGTCAGAATAAGCATGTTGTTTGAATGTTTACATAAATATTGTGTTACACTGAGTGACTAACATTATTTCAACCAAATTTTAAAATTGTGTTCTCCAAAAAACTTATTTGAAACCTTAAAAGTAGACACTTTACTTACATTTAATGTGCTTTCTATGGACATATAATCACTTTTGTAAATTTCTTTTGATGCGGACATCTTAACGTCTTTGACCTATAAATATCTGAACATGCAATATGTCAAAAGAACAGAGCATCTGCTTTTAAACAAACAAACAACTTATTCTAGCTTCATGCATTCTTTTTTTTTATCAGCACTGTGGGCAGGTTTTATGAAAAGCGACATTTTAAAAATCACGTTTTTGTAAAAGACTTAAGTCTGGATCAGATTCAAAGCGATGATTAAACCACAGATGGAGTCGATCGCTTCCATCAAAACCCCCAAAGCTTCACAGTCCTATACCACTTCCCGAGTCAGCATTTTACTCCGTAACATTAGGGAGTTTTGATTTATATGCTCTTTAATGTTCGATGATCATGTTATTTCACAAATGCATTTGCTTAAATATGCAATTGCTTGTTCCTGCTTCTCCGCCCATGTTTTTGACTCTGTGTTCAACTGTCTTGTCCAAATACCCATACTTGAGGTCTTTGCACTTGACCACTTGGCTACTTATATGGCACATTTCCTGGTATCTGGTCAAGGGGAATATTCTTTCAGAAGATGTGGAATAGCGCCTCCTGCTGTATAACCGTGAACACACGCAAAGCTGGAAAATTCTGTCAATGGCGGAATGCGAAGGAGTTTAAAAAAAAAGTCATCAAATCAAGTTTTCTATAATTTCCTGTGGTTTAGGACTACAAGCCACACAACCCAGTCATGCAGTACACGCCGGGCATGGCTCCTGATCTGATAAACATGGGCCAGTCAAACATGTCTTTCCGGGGCTACCAGGCTCCAATGCACTTGTATGGCCAAAACCAGCCTCTGCCACCAGGTCAGTGCATGCCTTTTAATCTCTTCTACTGTTTAACCTCATAAAGCAGTTGTTTCAGTCATTTTAGCATCATGATATGCATGTAGGACATCATCTATTATTTTCTTTTACTTGTCTTTTATGCTTTTTTTCCCCCCGTATTTTTCCCCCCTAAGGAGGCCCCGGTTTAGAGCCCCCTTTCCGTCCCAGGGGTCCTATGGCCAAAATTCCTCCACGTCCCGCCTACAGCATGGCTAATATGCCGGGTGCTGGCATGGGCAACATGATGGGAATGGACAAGCAGTTCCAGATGGGCTACAAGCCCCCTCAGAGCATGCCTCAGGGGCAGATTCTCCGTCATCAGCTACAGGTCAGACTGGTGAGTCTGGTTTTACTGATCAAGACCCCAGACCAAAAACACACATGGTTTCCAGCCTTCCATTTTGTCTGAATAGTTCATCTGCTTTGTCATTTTATTACACGTCCTGTAATGAGTGGTGCTTGCTCAAGCAAACATGTACTGCAGAGGCCCCACACATTTTTAGTACTATTGACTTGATTTGGAGAAGTCTGACATCATGCGTCACCATTTCCGGGTCCAAACCTTGCTTCAAATACCACAAGCAAACAACAAATGGTGATAAAATAACAGGGTTGCCAGGTCTGCAAAACAAAACCAGCCCAAGTGCTAATCAGAACTATCAGAAGAATCAGAATTGTGTATTTTCTGCGGTTTTTCCCTCCACTGGGGGTCCCTTCCATCAAAATAGATGTTCTGGGGACCGCAGACTTGGCATCAAGCATTATTATGGCTTGACTTGATTGCATGTAAATGGTTTAAATATGTGGATATGGCAGACCATTTAATCCGCTAAATAAAAAAAAATTGAGTTGCAACCTTTTTATCTCACAATTCTGAATTTTTTTTCTCAGAATTACATGATATAAATCCTCAATTGCGAGAAATAAATTGACTTTTTTTCTTGCAATTGCCAGTTTATATCATAATTCTGACTTTTTGACTTTTTTTCTCAGAATTGTGAGAAACTCATGATTGTGAGTCCAGTTCTGAGGGAAAAAATACTATTTTTCTTAACTTATTTTATAGGTTTATATCTCACAGTTCTGACTTTGTCTTGGAATTACTTGTTTTTATATCACAATTCTAACTTTATAACACAGAATTGCAACTTTATAGCAATTTTTTCCCCTTAGAATATAAATTCTGAAATGTGAGAGATTTGGAGTTTTTCACAGTTTTGACCTTTTCTCAGAATTGAAAGAAACCTTGCGAGTCTAATTCTGAGGAATAAGACTAATTTCTTAAAATGGTGTTATACGTATTTCATAATTCTGACTTTATTTCTCAGAATTCCGTGTTTATATATCGCAGTTCTAACATTCTAACAAGCAATTCTCACTTTATAACTAACAACTGCGAGTTTATATCGCACATTTTAGGAAAAAAAAGTTAATTGTGAGACAATTTTTTTTTTTATTCAGTGGTAGAAACAAGCTTCCATATATGGGTCACCTCAGTTTACGAAGGAAAAAATGGGTCACACTTAAAAACTAACAACTGCGAGTTTATATCGCACATTTTAGGAAAAAAAAGTTAATTGTGAGACAATTTTTTTTTTATTCAGTGGTAGAAACAAGCTTCCATATATGGGTCACCTCAGTTTACGAAGGAAAAAATGGGTCGCACTTAAGGCTTGAAAACCACTGATGTAGTCCATCATGGAGATGTGTTACCATGGGCAAGCACCATCTGTGCTTTTTTGTTTTTGTTTTGTCTCCTAGTGGTTTGTGAATGTTTAATTCAGAAAGGTTGGATGATCATTTTCAGGAAATGGAAGGCATTAATGTTTTTTTTAATGCTCTGTTTGCACTTATCTAGAATCATAATCATTTACTTGGACAGCAGATTAGACAAGTGGCACCTAATCAACAGTATCCATCAATGCAGCCGACACAGGCAAGTATTGGCACATTTGCAGTGTTGATTTGTTCAGCATTCACTGAAACCCGGAGATAACAGCCCATGTTTCTCTCTTCAGAATATTTCCCAGGGCTACACCTCGTACGGCTCACACATGGGGATGCAGCCGCACCCCTCTCAGCCCGGAGGAATAGTTCCTGCCTCGTACGGTAACCAGGGCTTCCAGGGGGGACATCCTGGCACAAACCCAGCCATGGTGGACTCTCTTAGGCAAATGCAGCAGAGGCCTAGTGGCTACGTCCATCAGCAGGCCCCTGCAGCATACGCACACACAATGCAGAACACGCAAAGGTCAGTCACAGACAAAACTGCCTGGCTGAGTCCTGGTCCTAGCACCTCGCCTAAAATAATCCGATTGGCTAAATGTAGTGTTCATTTTGCCAGCTGTTTTTTTTTTAATATATGTGACCCTGGACCACAAAACCAGTTATAAGGGTCAATTATTTGATACAACTATTTGAAAATCTGGAATCTGAGGGTGCAAAAAAATCTAAATATTGTGAAAATCATCTTTAAAGTTGTCCAAATGAAGTTCTTAGCAATGCATATTACTAATCAAAAGTTACGTTTTAATATATTTACGGTAGGAAATTTACTAAATATCTTCATGGACCATGATCTTTACTTAATGTCCTAATGAGTTTTGGCATAAAAGAAAAATCAATAATTGACCCATACAGTGTATTTTTGTATTTTTTTAAGACCGCTTTTGTGCTCCAGGGTCACACATAGTATTTTTCCTTTGCCATGTTCTTTTTAATTGTAATACATTTAGTCTTTATCCACTTTTTTTCAAGTTTTAGTTGACTAAGGGTGGGTTGCACCAATAAGGATTAATCAAAAATCTAGATTAAATCAAGTTTTATCTAATAACTCTGTTGCACCAAACTTTAAACCTTGTTTAAAAAAATAAACAGGTTTACATTTAAACCATCATCTTGATCCTGGATTTAATTTATATTTAAGATAGATTAACTTTAATCATGTTGCTCCATAACTTTAAACTCAGATTTAAATCTCAATTAGGGATTAATTTGACATTTACAGGTGAGGAGGTTTAAAGAAAATAAAGTGCACCTACTGATACAATTATGTTGCTGATTGAACAAAGACAGAAACAGCGGGTGTGTCGTCAGGTCTCAGAGAGGTGTTTATTATAAATAAAAATGAAAATTAAAGCGCACTGAGCCAGCAGATTTTGAGTGTCGTTGCAGCCAATGGTAAACTTGCGTCTGCTATCGAGTCCGGTATGTGAATCCATCACTTATCTCGGTGCATCTCGCCTTACGACAAAGAAAAGAAGACAGGATCGCGGCCGCGCCTCTTGTTTCTCACGCCCGCTCCACACGTGCTGTTGAACAGGGCGCCACTGTCACGAGCAGAGGTAGTCACTGGTAATCATGCCAGTTATTTTCTCTCATCTCGATTGTTTTGTCATACGCTATACTCCATTAATTTATACTATAAATATATTTCCAATATTATGAAATCCGTATGCACTGCCTCAAAGTTTTGATTGCTTGCTTGATCAGCCGTTTGATCAACGCTCTCTCTTCGTACGTTAGCGGTTTATAAAGACGGTGGACCTTTTTACAAGTTTATTTCCTTTATCGACAAAAGCAACTTATGTCAGAGACAGAGGAAAAGGAATATTAGCATTGTTGCTGTTTAATT